TATGTTTTGGAGAAATTAGGGGGTTCATGGGGCAGGGGGGGGGGTGGGGGTGCGACTGGCTGAAACAGGCATGCTCTCAAAAATTGGAAAACTTGACGTTTTGAGGACACGATCACAAGATACAGCGGCGGGCGCGCCCTGCTAGGGTGGGCGAGGGGGATTTGGCTGAAGCAGACAAGCTCTCCTCCAAGACTTGAAAAAGTTGGGGACTTGTTTATTTTGTTGCTGGGAAGCGAACCTATCGTGTCCGTGACTGTTGGGTTTCTGGGCACAAAAAATAAAAAAAAAGATAAAAAAGCCTACCGTCGATGCCAACTAGACAAACAAAACACACTGCATATCTCCCCTGTTACTCCCGTGTCTATCTTTAATCCGGAGAGTAGCTTAGCCCTGCCCCATGACGCACACCCTCACGGAGCCCCCACATCATGACCTGCAGAAGCATTTTCTGTTTTCAACCGCACTGAGGCACGAGTCCTTTCATTGGCCAGCCGGTAAGCACGGAGGTCAACGATACATACAATCAAAGGAACAAACGAACGAACGAACACACAGGCACAAACATACACGCGCGTACACACACCTCGATGGCGTCCACAAGAGTTTGCTCCGGCATACCAACCACCCCGCCGCCGCCGCCGCCGCCAGCGCCACCCCCCACCGGTACCCCGTGGCTCTCCCAGATCAGCCGCTCGTTCGGCAGCATTCCGAGCACCGACTGCTGCCGACCACCGGCCGCGCCGCCGCCGCCGCCGTTACCGCCGCCCCCCCGGTTGCCCCGGCCGCCCCGGCCGCTGCTCCTACCGCCGCTGCCCGTGCTGCCCGGCGCCCTGACGTGCCTCAGGAGGAGCGGGTGCACGACGGGGGCGGCGTGCGCCTGGGTGGCCGCCGACGGGCCGTCCGGGAAGAGTCTGCCGATAACAACAACGATGTGTAGGGGGAGGGGCAGGGGCGGCGGCGGCGGGGTTGAGGGTAAGGGCAACGTGGGGGTTGGCTGCGTTAGACATATATACTGGAATACGATCACGGAAAGACTATACTCGTACCACCGCTCCTTAGATAGCGTCGGACCGTGTTAACCAGACGGACCAATGAAATGCCATCGAGTTAATCTCTCTTCTCTCTCGCTGCCTGTCTCTCTGTGCCTTTTCTTAAATGGTATCCACAGCGCCACCTAGCTGGCTAGTCACGGAATAGATACCAGTCTTGCGTGTGCGGGACGGTTGGGAGGGTGGAGGCTACTTCCAGATTTGTCTATGCGTGAATGAACGAACGAACGAGGGAAGAGAGGGCACGAAGGCCGGCGGTCAAGGAACGCTACCGGTTAAACATCCCTCCAGCCGTTCACCCAAAGCCAGACCCGCTGTTGACACTGGCTTTCCCACCTGGTGGTGTTGTGGGAAGGCCCTGGCGCTGCCGCATGAAGGTCATGTGCGATCATCTGCTTTGGACCGAAGCCGAGAGACACAGAGAAAGACAGATGAGCAGAGGTGAAAAGGCGGCCGGGCATGCACGACGAACATGTGAGAAGGGTGAAGTGGATCGACATCCCCGCCGTAGCACAAACCAACCCCCCTTGCGACAACATCAGCCTGCTCTTCTCTTCCCAACCACCCAACCCCTACGGCCTCCTCCAAACCCCTTGCGGCGACATCAGCATGCCCCTCTCTTCCCAACCACCACGGCCTCCTCCCAAAACATACATCCGAGCGCGCTCCATCACGTCGTGGGCCGGTCGCCCGTACCTACCAGAGACCAGACGCGAGAAACACGCCTCCTGTCCACCCATACAGTGGAGGTCCGGATATGCATACAGTGATCGGCGAGAATTACCGTGTTTTATACGAACCCGCGCTCAGGTCTCTGAACACGAATTTAGTAGAAGACTATGCATACGCAAGTTGTTGCGTCAAGGATTTTCTTACCGCGATTTTATCGGGAACCACGCTATTCGGGACCCCGACATATCGGTACCACTACTGAACATAGACGAAGGTACGGTAGAGAGATCGGGGCGGATCTTAATGTGAAGACAACAACAACTCGGGACCCCGACATACCAGTACCACTACTGAACAAATATGAAGGTACTGGGTAGAGAGATCGGGGCGGCTTTTGGCGTGAAGACAACATCAACAACAACAACAACCAACACCTTCTATTTAAAATTGTTTACTCGTCCTACCTCAGTCCAACCCGTGTCTGCCCCGCCGGTCCCGCGAACAACGCGGACGAGGGGAGGGGCGCCGGCGCCGCCCGCGCCTTGGGGAGTGACGGAGCGAAGCATCTGGTTCAGAGCGGCGTCGCTCTCCATGAAGTCGTTCATGGTCATCATGTTCTGCTGGTACAAGCAAAGAACAGGGGTGTGTGTGTGTGTCTTTACCGTTCGCATCGACCGCGCTGACCGGCTGACCAATGAAAATATGTCAGTCTCAAGATAGTTAGTGCGGTGGAAAACACAACATGATTCTAAGGCCACGATCTGGGACCCTGTGACCGAGCGTCATGGGGGAGTCTACTCTACTCTTCGGATTAACGTGTGTGTTTTTATTATTAGCATCGACCGCGCTGACCGGCTGACCAATGAAAAGACGTCAGTCTCAGTGCGGTTGAAAACACAAAACACTTCTAAATGCCATACACTTGTGTGTGTTGTGTGTGTGTGGAATATCCTACACAACCCAGGGCAGAGACATCAAACCACGACCAGGAACATGTAATGGGTAGGGACACTGAGATCTCGGAATCCAAAACCCACGCTAACAGCCACACAAACAAAGCACGCACAGGCCACGCACACGCCCTGAGACTGGCAACATTTTCATTGGTCAGCCGGTTAGCGCGGTCGCGTTGCAAACAACACACACACTACACGAAACCTCTCAAAAATCGACAAAAATAATACAACATAACCAAACCAAACCGACCATCCCCTCCCCGCGCTCCCCTCGGAACAAAAACACGAAACCGGCAACGTTCGCCAAAAAAAAAAAGAAAAAAAAAGAAGAGACCCACCATTCCTCCCCCACGCTCCCCGTGCCGCGTCGCGTACTGTCTCGCGAGGCCCGGCGGCGGCTGCACCCCCCACAGAGACAGCTGCTCCGCCGTAGCCCCTCGAGCAATCCACCCTTCCCCGCCACCCCCTCCCAACCCGATGCCAGCCGCGGCGCCGGCGTCCATGGTCTGCTGAAACACCGGATGTACCCCGGGGCGCCCTGCGGGTCGTCAGGGCGGTGCAGGGAGAGGTCGAAGTAGTCCATATCTATCTCCTCTTCGTCCAGCTCTTCCTCGTCGTCCTCTTCGTCGTCGTCTTCCTCCTCTTCCTACTCCTAGTCCTCCTCG